AGGTAAATATTTGTCTGATAAATTTCCTATCCAGAATAGTCTAAAACAAGGTGGTAATTTTATCACCACTCCTTTTCAACTTTTCTTTAGAATATGCCATTAGGAAGGTCCAGGGAGACCAGGTGGGACTGAAATTGAACGGGACACATCAGCTGCTGGACTGTGCTGATGGTGTGAACCTACTGGGTGATAACACAGATACCATAAAGAAAAAACTTTAATTGATGCTAGTAAAGAGGTTGGTCTAGACGTAAATTTGCTGTCTCGTCACCAGGATGAAGAGCAATACATGACGCAAAGACAGCTAACTGAGCCCTTGAAAATGTGGCTCAGTTCAAATATTTGGGAACTACAGTAACAGATCAAAATTCAATTCACGAGGAAATTAAGAGGAGATTGAATCCGGGTAATGTTTGTTACCAGTTTCCTTTCGTCTTCTCGTCTGCTGTATAAAACGTAAGAGTCAGAATACACAAATCTATAATTTTGCCTGTGGTTCGGTATGGGTGTGAAACTTGGTCTCTCACATCAAGGGAGGAACATAGACTGAGGGTGCTTAAGAACAGGGTTCTGAGCACCAAAGAGGGATGAAGTGACAGAAGGTAGGAGAAAAAAATGCATAATTAGGCGCTTAATAACTTGTACTCTTCCCCGGGTATAATTAGAATGATCAAGTGAAGGAGGATGAGATGGGTAGGGCATGTAGCACGAATGGGGGAGAGCGGGAATGAATATAGGATATTGGTGGGAAAGCGGAATGGAAAGAGACCACTGGGAAGATCAAGACGTGGGTGGGTAAACATTATTAAAATGTATCTTAGAGATATAATATGGGGTTGTATGGATTGAATTCATCTGGCTCAGGATAGGGACCAGTGGAGTGCTCTTGTGAACACGATAATGAACACTCTGGTTCGATAAAATGTTCGGACGTTCTTGAGTAGGTACATGACTGGCGGCTTCTCAAGAAGAGCTCAGCTACCAAGGACCGGGGCTCTTTCATGTGCAAAGTTTACAGTAATGCCCCGGATTGGGGATTCTGAGATTCAAAGTCGCCTATTGCGATGGAAGTTAACCGTAGTTCCTCGGAAACATCTGTGAACTTGTACCGCACTTAATGGCAGTCTCCGTAGCTGAGACACCAGAACACCTGCCACATGAGTTTATAGCTTTTGGCTAGTCCACAATCCCTTCTCTTTGGTAAAGTTCATGTTTCGGCCTTCTCGTGCTTCACTTTTAAGAGATGAGATCATTTCTCGGTTGTTACTGCCGCTTGCATACGCCTCAAGACAGTTGAGTCACTAAATATCAGCACTCAGGAGAACTTTGATATTTATGTACCACGCTAAATCAATCCCTGTAACAGGCTATGGAGGCCCATAGGGTTGTGAGACGTTGAGGATCCCACATTATCTAGACAGTTGGCTCACAGATGGCGGTAAGGTTGTCAGCCTTACGCACCGGCCGTGCTTTACTTCCCAGGAAAATTATTTAATTCCTGGTACTCATTTCTGTTAGAGGCTGAGTCGACCCCAGGGTCATAGTGCGGCCGGAAGGATTAGGTCAATTGTAAAGAACAATCCAATGACCTAATCGGGACCTGAACCCGCGACCTTCCGGGCTTCAACCAACTACGCTACCGCATGTTCACGTTTATGTACTGTACTTATCGCTCAGTATTTCGTTGTGTCACTGCATGCAAAGAGCGGTTGCTTTTTCCCCAGTAACACGGACATAGATCTGCTGAGATGCAAATATCAAGGGCTCCGACAAGTTTCCCTTATTCGGGACGAGATCCCAAGGGCTCCGCTCCCGTTGTAAGATTTTGTGCTGTGGCAATTAATTAAGTACAGTGACAACGTTACCTAACCTTCGCCGTAAGGACAGCAGACACTGCAGCCCTTCTCTGTACACTCAAATCCCTTCAATCACCTTCCACACTGTGTATGCGCGATACGACGGACCCAGGAAGAGTGCCCAAAAGTGTCAGTCTCCGGACGAGACCGTAGACGAGTTTACAGGCCAAGCGCCTGGGATGGATCTGTGGACCTCAGCCTGGCATTCCATCGGGTATCACAGCAGGCAGACGTTTAATGGTTTATCGCGTTTAGATGAAGGCGTAAAGACGGGAGGATAATATTAAAACGAATTGTGAAGAAACAGGAAGTGAGGGTGGCTGAAAATGGGGCTAGTGGGGGACTGTTAACATTTCGGAAGCCACAGGAGGAGGGAAATACATTGAACAATTTAGCGACTGTTAGCTTCTCGAAAAGGAGTCTGCTTAATGCACTGGGTTTCAGCCCTCTCGACGCGTTTGCTGTTTTGTACTAGAGTTCTTGAGGCGGAAGAAAGCGATTGAAATTTAGAAACACGTGATGTTGTGTTTTCTGTCAGGTGGTTATTGCAGGCCGTCTGCAGGTCAGTGCACCCAAGAGGGAACAGTAACTAAAGTACGTCTTGCGGCACAGGAATTTTTATTTCCAAATTCCGAACTGCGGTTCTGTGCGCTGTCTGGACTCGATACAGGAAGTGTCACCTTGTACGTCACAATTCTGATATACGGGTATATGGGGGTGGCCCAAGACACCATGTCATAAGTGACGTTAGTGCTGCCAACTTCTGAAATTTTGTGATAAAAATGTGTACTATTGAAAATAAAACAGCCTATTGGAAATTTATTGGTATGATCACAACCAAACTGCTAACCCTGGTTTTAATTATAATATTGTAGTTAAGTGTCCTGTTTCTTTAAAATATCTGTACACATTTATTTCTGTCTGGTCTTAATGTAGCACCAAGGTCATTAAGGCGTGTGGGAAGTGGAGGTATATGTCCATGGATTCTGAAAGGCGGAAGGGGGGCGCACTGGAGACGGATGTGGATGGTTATTTTCCTGGAACGAAATTCCTGTTACCTGGGTTTTACAGCCCGCAGGCTAGTCGCTATCCTGTCTGAGCTGAGGGAAACATTACGATCCGCCACTGGAACACACCACAGTATTGTTATCACAAACAGGCCGCCTGTCTCTCATCTCGCCGCAGTGCTAATCCCTATGCTCTGATAACAGCGCTCGTTGTTATCAGCCAGCGAGTTGTGTACACTCTGTTTAAAATTTCGTAACGTTTAGAAAGGAAACAGCGCGGATGCTGTGTCGTGTACACTACGGGTTGCCTGTGCACCAGGAGGCGGAACTTCTCCGCCAGAAGCAATACACCAGCGCGGGAGGGAGAGTTCTTATGTGATGCATAATTAGGAAGGAGCAATCAGTCGTGTGGAGATGACACAAATTTGTTGACCGATCTCCATGTTGGGAGCCCAGCAATTGTAATTCTTGGCTTCAAGTAGAAGCATTTCCCTTGCAAGTGTCCGGAAGATGACGTCACGCGATGTAGTACAATCGTTGGGCTGGGCTCAGTGGCCTACGCTCGTGTTCGGGAGATACTCGGCTCAAATCCCGTCCGGGACCACCGGCTACTATGAACGGCGATGGGGAATTGGTCTTCCTCAGTTATTCCAAGTGAATGCTTATGTGTTTGGCACGTAACCTGCGGAAAGGTTGGGAAGTGCTTTCCGTGACGCATTTTGCGTTTTGTTTGGAATTCCTTTCCACCCAGCTATTCAGCATTGGCATGAGCTGGCATATCAGTGTAAGGAAACCGAAGCTTCATGCCTGGCCGATTCGTATCGACAGAGATCGAATGCAGCTGGGTATCGATTAGGGAGGACGGGATTTGACTCTCACCAGCAGATGTCTAGCTCCTAACGGATTTCATACACCGTGTTCAAAGGCAATGGAAATTCCAGCGGCCCATGCGATGCTTTGGATCCAGCTGGCACGAGTGGATAGATAGTTGACTTCCCTTCATGCGGTCCCCACATCGCAGATTTTGGAGTCTTGACACTCGTATTCGGCTCAGTGCAAGAGGGAGATACGTGTACTGCTGCCTCGTCGCTTGGCGACAGTTGGGCCGGGTACACAATAGCGAGCTGTTGCATGTAACGTAACGGTTACTGTAACCACATTCTAAGTTTGCGTCTATGACAAGATTGTTAATGAGTGTACGTCACTCCCGAGTGGGAACTGAACTGGCAGGGAAAACCGATGTACTTGGATTGAACCTGACACTTTGGACAACACAAATCCCACATGACCTGACCTAGGATCGAACCCGGTCCTGGTGGTGGGGTGAGATACGAATAGTGGAAATATGAAGCCAGTGGCGGTATTTGTACCAGTTTGTGTTACGGCCCTGTGTTTAGCTTCCATTTTCAGGCTGAATATGGCGGAGGGTGTTTAGGGATTTGAGGTTTTCGAAGTGACGTCGAGCCCCAAGATGCAGGCAGCATGTTCCTCCGAAACGTCCGTATGCACCAATAGTGCCATGCGGAGTTACAGTAGACAACAATTAACCTATTTCATTCATCTATTCTGGGGGGTGTCCGGTTCGAATCTCGGCCAAGAACCTGGCTCCTGAGAGATTTGTGGTTTTCCAGGAGCAAGTCATAGAGAAAAATTTGGTACGAACTGGCAGGACAGAACGAAGTTCGCAATGTATACACAACAAGAGCAACTTTATCTGAACAAATAAGCAGAGTTATAAAGACTAAGACAGAAATAGGAGGGTATAGTTCATTGTTCGAAGCGATGTGTTTGCAGAGCACGCTCCACGCCCATCTTGAAGCACACGTGAACCGCAAACACATGACGGAGTTACTCAAGGTCATATCCCGAGCCAGATGTACCCAATCCACGTACACTCCAACCATTTCATTCACATAGGCTGCCCCAGAAGACCGACATGTTTGATATGAGGCTTTCATTTGTTAACTCTGAAGGGTACAGTCTTTTCGGATGTGACACCGTACAGTCCGGTGGAAGTTCGCCGTCTTCGTTCAGCATGACTTTTGCTCGTTACTGGCTTATCATATCTTCTGAGAAACTTCTGCCGGACTGCACGGCCTCACATCCCTGTACATAATGCAGTGTCGCTCTGTTGCAGGCAAGACGCGCACGAAGGACAAGTACCGCGTCGTGTACAGCGACCATCAGCGGCTGGAGCTTGAGAAGGAGTTCCACTACAGCCGCTACATCACGATCAGACGCAAGGCCGAGCTGGCCGCCAACCTGGGGCTCTCTGAGAGACAGGTGAGTCCTGAACCAGCTGATTCCAGTCCACACCCATTTTAATATTATCCTTCTAGTTACATCTAGTCTCCCAAGGCTAGTTATATTTTCATCTGTTGCACAAGCTACATGCCTCGTCTTTATGCATGATAATATCACCGAGTGGCAACCTTTTGTTCGGGAGGTCCTAACCTCTGTGAGGCCAATGTCACTTCCTTCCAAATCCGTCCCTATTCATCAGCCATCCTGCATTTCGAAGCTGTATACTCTGTAGATGGGCACAGCGTGACCGAGTGCGCCTGCGCACAGACGGAATGAACTCACTCCACAAAGCAGAGGCCTCTTTGAGAAGCTGATGGTCACAAAGCTTGCTTAGATTTTCCTCACCCCTTATAGATTCCAAAGTCAATTTCTAAGTGCCAGCTGCTGGATCCTGTCCTGGGCCGGTTTAATCCAGTTCACGTCCATCCACATTTCCTCTCGAGCCTCGCACACACAAGGATCTTGTCTTTCTGTGACAGGTCCGCTGCCGACGCTCTGTTTGGACACTGATAACATTGAGAAAACACGCCGACTGCGCGTGCTCATGCGGTCGCCGTTCCTGGCGCTCTTGGCGTTTCTGAGCAGAAGTGTGCCGCTGGGAGTCGCAGCCAATAATTATCCGATTTCTGTGAGAAGATCCCGGAGAACGCGTGTTCAGTTTCATTTTGTAACAGCTGTGACGCACTCGACTTCCTTTCTTTATCAGGAAATAAACAAAATTTCAAATATAAGAAAGGAGCCCCTGTAGCACCGGGTTCTGTTATGCTCGGATTGAACATGGGTACATTTACATAGCTGCAGGCCTCTAAATTCGCCGATCACAGTGGCCGCTCGCGCATTCTAAGGCTCAAACACTGGGATCATGGGTTCCAATCCCACTTGAGGCATGTATGTCTGTGTTTGTGTTCTGTGTGTAGGTAGCGGCTTTGGGACGGGCTGATCCCCGGTCCGAGGAGTCCTACCGACTGTAAAAGATCAAGAAACTGAAAACACGTCCAAGGCCCAACAAAGGGCTACAGAGCCATAGGTAGATAAACAGATGTGTAAATTCAGGTGTCAGGAAACGTTGTCTAATTATAAGAGAATTCGGTAATCTTCAGATGTCTTCGAACGATTACTGATTTTTTGTGAAGTTGCGGCAATGTACGCACAGATGAACAGTCGGCGCGACGGTCAGTTGCATATGCAGAACCCCAGTGCTTGTGGCAACACGGATATGTTCGAAACATACTGCACACCAATAAAAATAGAACAGCTCACAAACGCATGAATGCCTGCATGTATTCCTTCCACTTTCTTTCGAATTCATAGTTCGCTGATCATTGTGCCTTTTGAGGGTACATATTCCGAGCTTCTGACACCGTCCATAAAGAGAAATTCATTGAAGTTCAAACAGCACTTCCCCGAATTGCCATGGCCGGACATAAAGCAGGAAGCTCATAAGCTAATGCACCAAAAACTGGCTGTCTTCGGCTAGCAACCAAAATGAAATGAAGGCCAGTGAAAGACAGGCTTGTTTTGGTGGACAGGGAACTGCATCCAGTGCTCCCACAAGTTTCCTTGTTGAAGGAGCCTTTTCAGAAGGAGAATGTAACTCTTCCATTACACGCGGGTCAGTCCGTCTGCAACAGCCGTGTTCTTATATTCTGAAAGTTCCATTTGTGTTTAAACACCATGCCGTTATGACTCATGGGGGCATGGAGGTGAGCAGGTAGCTTCACGCCCCGGCCGCCCATTGTATAGGAAATATAAATGATGCAATGATGTTAGTGATAACTATACATGTCGGCAGATGTTGCGTGCCTAGAGGTGACGCGTGCTCAGGCATGGACACTTGTTCCTGCACACGGCCGTGAAGCATATAAATATTCATGCTTCCGTGTGTCTGACACGGCTACTAAGTTATGCGACCGTCATCAGTTGATGGGAGCGCGCGATGTCTACTCTTCGGCATAGAAGCCATATCCGTGTAACTGCAGGCTGTATTTGTTGTCAGGCAACATGACTGACGATGAATGGGACTTATAAGTGACTTGTCCTCCCTTACCGAGGCGATTTGCGTGTCTTAATCGCCCGGAGAGTAATCCTAGGTAGGGATTCAGGCTAACGGTACCCTTGGGCCCTTCCGGTTGGGGGTTAGGCTAGAAACCTAACTAGGGATGCCGGATGGGTCTCTTTGCCACAGAGGAGACTCAGAGTGGAGGCTTGGGCAAGATGGCGTGTTCAGACGGGCCAGACCGCCTGCTGCAGAAAGTGCTTACTGGCAGTCTCAACCTGTACTTCGCAAAATAATCTCACGAGACGGTTAGGGGGTTGGGAAAGGAGGTACGAGGTTGCTGTGTGCTATTGAGAATAATATTAAAATGTAGCTTAGAATAAGCTAATATTCTGTGGACATACTCAGGCCAGGATCCTCTGACAGTCCTGGAGGAACAGCTTGAGGCGTTCTATACCTCGGTGGAAGATGGAAATGATTTACCGGTCTCACCGTCCCTACGCTGTGGACTTTGGCGTCCACCGTATTGCTTGTGCCCCGGATTCCCTTGCCATGTGACATGTCCTCATCAGTGGGCTTGGGTTTACCAGGTGCGCTAAGATTTCTCTCCTCTTGCAGGTCAAGATATGGTTCCAGAACAGAAGAGCTAAGGAGCGCAAGCAAATGAAGAAACGCGACGAGCTGATGCACAAAGAGAAGATGGACGCCGTCACCGCGGCGCACCACCAGCTGCAGCAGATGGCGCCAGTAGTTACAGCCCCGCCGGCCTCGCACGGCGTCGTCATGTGACCAGAGGAACCGTGGTTCGCATCTCAGCAGCAGTCTTCCGCGGGGGGGAGATCATCTGTGACGGGCGAGTGTTCCCCAGATTGCATGACAGCAGAAAGTGTCGGGACAGCGTTTGGACGCTTTCGTGGACAAGCTCCGTGCTGAGTTGTGGCTGCGGGTGTGAACGGTTGAGGAACGCGCCTCAACGATAGGATATTTCACTAACCTAGAGAATGAAATGGGGAAAAGATTGCTTGAAATAGACATGCTGCATACTAAAACGCTTTTGAGGGCGCGTGATGTAGATCGTCATGTGATCTTAAAACACTCATTAGATTATAATTTCTGTGTATATTCAGGGATACAGTTGACCTTATCTTTGGCGTAATTTCGAGTATTTCAAATAGCAACCACAAGAGTTATTTCTTGTGCCAGAAAACCAGTTCCATCAGTCATATGCAGTCTGTAAGACAGGAATTCCAACATTTACAAACGTAAATTGCCTGGAATGGCACATAACACACTTTACCACGAAGTAATCAAAAACATATATCTCGGCAAGAGCTCGGAGCAGACTGCTTTGCGATAGGGACCGAAGTGGCAAGAAGTTGATAGCAAAACCCCTACAAGCATGGGGACGTGAGTTTGATCTGAATAAACTGGACGGAATCTGTTGGAAATGTCAGAAGATTCCAATTTATAAGGGCTTATATTTATTTCAGGAAACATGTGCCTGTGTTCTCCTTACCTGGTACAGTTTTGTGGCACTGAACACCACACAAGCTGCACTAAGCCTTACTAGCTTCTACGTATTGTAATAAAGTTTATTATTTGATATTTGTTTCACATAGCCTATTTCTGTAAAGTTTAACAATTCATTTTGATGTTTACACTTCCGATTTGAAATAAACTTAGATACTAAATTACGTTTTTCTTACATATATATAATCTCCACCTGATTGCGATCAAGTGACGAACAGGATTGCGGAAATCACAGCAAAACTCAGACCTTTCGCAGTACAGAGGACACTGCAAGTTGTACTGCGCGTTTAGGCCAGTGCAAATAAGCAACTTGTACTGATTTCAGATGGCGAGTCTTCATGAAGATATATAAGAACAGTATTATACGTTATTTCATTATCCTGTTGCATTGAGGTATCATTTGCAGTTTTTTTTCCGCTTATAATGCAAACATTTAAACTTAAGCGACGCTGAATCACATTTAATTCACTGAAATATTATAAAAGATTATAATCTTATGTTATGTTGTGTGTAGAGGATGACAGATTAAAAAATATTTATCAATCCACTGAACGGCGTTAATAATCTTTTGTACTGCTAGTGTTACGGACGAGGATGAATGTTCGTTGAATGTGATTAAAATGTATGTACATTTCGGTGGTTATGCTACATGTTTCAGCCGCACAGACCATCTTCAGGCAACATGCTGCACCCTGCACTTAGTCTAATGGTGCTCTTTGAAACATCATACACAGACAGATAAATATAATAGAGACAGTGTCACACGTAACTTCGAACAAGGCCACGCATTCCCGCAACCCACCCCTTTGTCTGAAAATTTTCTTCTGCGCATTCAAGGTTACTCTTGGCGCTCTTGGCCTTGTTCGAAGTTACGTGACACTTGCTATAATAGCGGCATATATCAGATGAAATGCCTAGATTAGTCACTGAAATATGTTCAAACTGGAGGAACATTAAATATAAGATATAAAGAACGTATTCATGCTATCAGAAATATAAGTAATTCCGGATATTCAAATTATATATTAAATACGGAACATATGACACAATAATAGATATTACGGACGTCATAAAGGCAGGAAGGAAAGGCAGGCATTTAAATATTATGAAAAAAAATAACATTTATAAAATTGGCAGGAACAATTTACACATTTCGTAGCGCACAATCCTATATTCCAAACAGTACATGAACTTTACGATAGATAGCAGTACACTCGCTACCTAGAAAGGTATTTGAGCGAGGACAACCTCACCAAAATCAGTACACGGAACACAAAGCAACACTAGATGCACACAACCAAGATGGCGTCTCATCCAATGGGACACGTAAGTACAAAAAATACATAGCATTAAAAACAGAATCACATTAATGATACATTACAGAAACGGCCGCAGTGAAAAATATAGGAATACAGCATCAGAATTAATGATAACAAAGACGTGCCTTCAGAGCACCATTTGACCAAGCGCACCTTGCAGCATGTTGCCTCAAGATGGCATGAGCGGCTGAAACATGTAGCATAACCACCGAAATGTAAATATTTTAATGCCATTTAACGAACATTTTAGAGATTTAAATGTTATTACTGTCCTTTATAATTTAAATTGTTACATTATAGACGAAAACAAGACTGCAAATGATGCATAACACTCTCATGTTGATGCATTAGCACACCAAGCGGGAATTCGCCGCATTGTAGGCCAGTTGCAGTCAATACTTTTGTGTTTCTTATATACTTTTAAGACTCCGGCAAATTTATTTTTTACGATTTGTTTCAGTTTTAATGATCAGTATATTTAATACAATACTCTTTATCAATACACAACATTTTGCATTCCTAGCGACATGCATGCCATCACTAGCGGGTTTAGGTTTCGAACGAAGATTTTTAACTTTCAGAGATTAAAAAATAGTAACTGCCAGAAGGCGCTGAAATACAAGCATTGAATTCGAATGACGCTAGGAGTTGTTGATGGGCGCATTTTGGAATGCGAATGATAAACGTAAAATGCTTCAGAGAAGTGTCACATGTTTTGCATCATTTTGGAAAACGCCTTTAATTTCTTCTCCAACTAACGATATGTCGTTTTCTGAAATGGAATACCGTTTAATTTGACCCCCGAACATGAAACCAGAACTGCTTGACAACGTAACTGAGATGCTTGCAATCGATGTCACTGACTGGCGTTAGTTTCAAAGAAAAGTTAGATAAAGTCATGCTTAAATTACACCCCTGATTTCGTGTAGTTTAGCTGTGGCGATAAACCGAACTAAATAGTGCCTTGAAAGCAGCATTACTTGTGCAGGGATAGTATTGCGCCATAAATCGGCGCATGCGCGTTGGGCGCCATGTACACGCTGGCTGTACTGACGTTCGGAAACTGAAAATTGTCTCCTCAGTACTGCGAAATCAACTGAGTCACCCCTTATAGCATTAAAGCCTATGTAAACATTTTAAGGTGCTCCCATTCGCCGTTTGGTTATCCATTCTGAATATATATGCTTTCTTTCCTTGGCACTACAGCCCCAGTGGGCCTAGGCCTACATCAATGAACTTCTCCGTTCACTTCGGTTTTTCTAGATCTTACACATTCGGTAGGACTCCTTGGGCGGGTGATCAGCTCGTCGCAAGGCCTCTACCTGTACACAAACACAGAAAAAAGCACACACACAAACTAAATATGCCATGAGTGGGATTCGAACCCACGATCCCGGCTTCCGAGCGAGCGAAGACAATACATGCCTTAGACCGCTCAGCTACCGTGACCGGCATTCTGAATATATATAGACAATTTATATTGATAAGCTCGGTATTGCTTTTATTATGGACTAACAGTGACTATTTCCGCGATTTCGTGGGTAGTACTATAGACGAGTGTTAAAATTGCAGTGCATAAAAGTCCTTAAAGCCGGCCACGGTAGCCGAGCGGTCTAAGGCATGTACTGTCTTCGCTCGCTTGGAAACCGGGATCGTGGGTTCGAATCCCATTCATAGCATATTTAGTTTGTGTGTGTGCTTTTTTCTGTGTTTGTGTACAAGTAGAGGCCTTGCGACGAGCTGATCACCCGCCCAAGGAGTCCTACCGAATGTGTAAGATCTAGAAAAACCGAAGTGAACGGAGAAGTTCATGGAGGTAGGTCTAGGCCCAAATTGGGGCTGTAGCGCCAAGGGGGAAAAAAGACCTTAAAAGAGGTGGAACTAGGACTACTATAGCTTCCTGAATACAGGTCTGATCCGTGTTGAACATACCCTCAAAATCAGGCGGATTTTGTCGATCGTTGGTCACGAAGAAAATCACGGATACCTCATTCAGAATAACTGGTGCCCCAACGGAGATCTGAACCGAGAACCTCCAAAATACATGTTACCGCCACGTCGCTCTTGACGAATTCTTGAACCTGTTACATAAACATATACGTATAACATTGATTTGAGTTCCTCGGTACGGGAAACAGGCTTGCCAAGGGGGAGTTCCTGCATTTTAAGGCTGCAAATGCCGATGATATTTTCAGATATAAATATGTTAAGGAATTCATGGGGGTTCGTTTTATTTCTTTAACTTTGAAGTGACTGAATCAATTCGCCATATCTGTGGTCTCATTGAATTCGAGTATGATGTGCCCTCAAGGATGTTTTAGACAAAGTATGGTAGCTTGTTTCTGTTGAAGCGCGAACACATGGACTTCCGGTGCGCCTGCGTTGTGACACTGCAGTCTCAAGACGTCAGATCCTCGTAACGTACGGTAGGCTATTTCCGCGCTTGCTGTTGCCAGCCGGTCAAGTGAGAAGGATAAAATTAAAAACAATTCAAAGTTTAGAGGTTGTGCTCGTTATGGGGTAAGATTTGCTGATGTGACATTAATTTTCACACTTGAATCAGCTGCAAATTGAAACGCCAATGCCTACCGGAAGTTCCTCCGAGTATTTGGATGAAACTGAAAAATCTGATTGGCTGTAGAAGACACTAAATTAAATTGACTAGAATAATAGGGTGCCAGAGAAATTAGTTCTCTCTACTAGTGCAGCAACAAAAGTAACTTTGAAAGGGAAAGTACGAGTTATGTGGAGACAAATCTCAGTTGTATATATACATGTAGCTTAGTGTTGCTGTGGTCCGTATCGCCACGCTGCGTGTGAGACTGTGCCTTGCAGAGATGATGACCAGTGTCCCCTTGTATGCAACCGCATTCAAATGAACGCGCCGCAGCCTAGCTCTAAGTGAACTGGTGTCTTGGTGGCAGCCACTTCTAGCAGGTTCAAGAACGGTGCGCACTTCGTTTGTGTAACAACTGCCCGTCAGCAAACCAAGGTTCATGGATGCGGATGGTGAAAATGTGGCCCACAGCAGATAATTACTGGTCGCCATAATGCTCACGTCCTACTGTTCTAATTTAATTGTAAGCATGATTTACACCTAACATTTAGTAATATCCTTTTCGTATGTCGGATGAGACATTGAATTAAAATTGAATTTCTGTACACGGAAGGGCTCCATGATTATTTCTTCCAGGGCAGAGAGGTGAGTGGGTGGCGGCTAGAAAATTTGCTGAATTTACATTTGCGTCATATTACGCCTCTCTGCAGATTTGTGGATCTCTGTTGAAAACCTTGACGACGCCACACTCAAAATAGTTTTTTAAATTTTGATAATACTATTTGGCACATCCTTTATCTAATAAAATTTTTAATTTTGTGGGGGAGGGGAGCCTGCCTTACCGCCATCTCCCCCTGCTAGCCCCTCCATGTGAACGTGTCACAGTTGCTTTTCCTTCTGTATCCGTCTGAAGTCTGCCATGTTTGAAGGAATTTGTTGGAATGAACTAATATGGTGGCATGCGCATCCTCCGGTTATGGTAGGCGTGTGCACTACTGAATGCAAAGGCATCAAACTGACTTTCTTGCGGTTTTGTTTCTTATCCTATCTTTAAGAATGAATACATTTATTCCAATTGTTGGCTGGTCCCACAAAACTTACGTAAGAAGGTCTTCATGTTTTTGAAGGCGAGCTGAGATTCCCAAGAATCGAATATGAAATTGTTTTTAGAAGTCAGGGCCTTAGTTTCGTTTTTGTAGCCACTGGGCTCTTAAGCTGAGCAGCGGTGAGCCAGGCGATTCCATCGAACTAGATTTCTCTTAGCAGAACATTCTCTTCTCAGGGCAGACCTGAAGCTCGAAGCCTTGTTTACCCATTTGCATGGGTCGGTTTTATGTTCACGAAGTATTTAATTCTGACGTAACTTATCGTCAGCCTTTATATGTTTCCAAGGAAAAGTTGCGAACATGAGCCATGTCTACTCATTTTTACACACTGGCTGCGCTGTTGCAAACTTCAGCACGGAATTTCGATTTCTGTCGCAAATTTCACACGGCTTACGGGCCTAAGTCCTGTGTAAGCAGTTGAGACGCAAGATCTGTCAGTGTACAAAGAGCCTGGGTTTATCCTATGTAGGCATTGTTCATGTTCCTTGTGTTTGTTGAGTTGTCATGTCTCACTGTTAAATGTATAAACTGTTTGCAATATAATCCAATTATGCTTTTAAACATACAAGTTGCTGTTTTATTTTATTCCATGTCCATTAAACCTCAACGGCTACAGTTGGTACCATTGTAAATAATCCTCCAACCTGCACTGTTACCCCCCCTCCTCAAAGTAATTAAGTTAAGTCATAACTTAGTAAGTTTTGCAAAGCATTCACTGGGCAAAAGCTGCGAGAGTTTTGTCTCGTCCTGATGATAACGACAATGTGTTTGGGATGACAGAAACCTTCCTCATGGCGAAAATATCTCAGGCTTCCAAGGGATGAAAAAAATTAATTGAATGTACACTTTTGTGGTTAGAGTAAGGATTGTGCTTATATTAGGTCCAATGCTCAGAATAGAAAAATAATTAGTGCGCATTTGCAACGAAAAGTGGCTAAAGATAAGCCAGTTGCATTCACCATGTCTGTCTCTCAGAGTTCGGCTTCAATTTTCCAAACCCTTTCAGTTTTGAAGAAAGTCGTCTTCTAGGTTTTGGCGCCGTGTATTCTTCGTTTTAGCCGACGTTTCGGAAAAACGTATCGTCTCCATCTTCAGAGCAGGTGAATTGGCTTGTGAATGCAGAGAGCATTGGAAACCGGGATCTTGGGTTCGAATCCCACTGAGGGCATGGATGTTTAGTTTGTGTGTGTTCGTTTTTCTGTGTTTGTGTACAGGTAGAGGCCTTGCGACGAGCTGATCACCCGCCCAAGGAGTCCTACCGAATGTATAAGATCTAGAAAAACCGAAGTGAACGGAGAAGTTCATGGAGGTAGGCCTAGGCCCACTGAGGCTGTAGTGCCAAGAACAAAAAAGTGAAATCGGTTTCACATGTCGCCGGTACAAATTACACAACTTGAGGAATTTGTTTGCGTGTACTTTCACCTTGAATCCAAAGTATACGTTCAGATGCCCCTACAGTAACACACGGACATACTTAGCTACGTTTATGAAAATTATTTTATTCGAGATTTCCGTATATATGAAACCTGTGGTAATATTCAGGTGATAATTGATGTTTACACTTGACTGCGATTTAACCCAGGCAGCTTCTACTCGACCTCCTTGAAGAACGAATGTGTTGAATTCCGTAGCTCATCTGTTTAAACAAGAGAATCAAAGAGAAACAGAACAAGCTTTGTTAGACGCTACTGAGAAGGCTAAGTATATGTTAATTTCTCGCAACCAGAATACAGGGCCCAAACCACGACGTAAAGATGGCTAGAAGATCCTTTGAAAACTTGAGAAGGTTCAGAATTTTTGCAATGGTATTAACGGATCGATACTGCATCCATTAAAAACTAAATTTAAATGAAATTTGGGGAAATGCTTACTACTATTCGGTCCAGAAAACTGCACATTGAGGAGTTCGCACGCCTGACTTTTATCTCGTTTCACCACGTGATCATGCCTGATCTAGGCAGAAACAATTTGACAAGCATCGCTGTGCAAACATTGGCCGACGTAGAGACAGCAGCAGACGGAGAGTAAATACATTGAAATGCAATTAGATAATCCCGAAGGACGTAGCAAAGTAATGTCGCCAGAAATCTTACAGATCAGATCAAGGAGGATGGAATGCTCGGGGTACTTCAAGTACGCATGACGGGAAACCGAATGGCAAGAGAGAACCCGCGCGACCTAAAAGTAGATTGGAGGATAACAGCAAACTGGATCTTGAAAAAAAAAACGGGAGATTGGGCTGGATATTTCTGGCTACGGACTGGTAGCGGTAATGAACCTCAGGGCCCATAAAATGCTGGGATTTCTTTTGACTAGCTGAGCAACTCTTAGCTTCTCGCTCCCTTCCCCGTCTATATGATGTGGACACTGGAAGAGCACATGGTATTTTTTAGTTGGGGTGGGTTGAGACCGTCCACTCGGTATGTCGGCCATTGCTTGGCATATTGTACTAGCCCCGGATGACGGTTAATGCTTGTGGAGCAGTCGGGGGAATGAAAATTGGCAGGGGAAACCGAAATACTCGAAGAAAACCTGGCCCAGTGCCACTTCGGCTCGA